ATCCGAGTATGCCATTTGGCAGGTACTACCTATGTCGGATTGCATACGGAAGCTCTAACATGAAAAGATGGAGGAGGAGGAACTTATAATTAGAGATTACTAATTTTTAATGGCTTTTTAATGGCTTTCTTTTGGCCAAAAAAAAAATCCTTTCCATCATGGGAGTTACATACTGATTTACAACTAGTCGACTACTGGACTATGATTTTCATCGTACAATGGCACTTACACACCTGGCTCCCCTTCAGGAATGATTAACTAATTGAAACAGGTGTATTCGTAACAGAACTGCATATAAACAACAGAAAACAAAACAAAATCTTTTAGCTAATTGGTACTTCTGTGGACTAGCCTTTTTACACGAGAAGAACAAATCATTTCCCTTAATGTTCGATACAAATTTAAGATTCATAGAAATTTCCAGAACAATGATTCATCAAAAAAAAAACCTTTATCATGATGGAACTTTATAATATCCAGACTGTTTATATATCGTAGTGAAGAGTAAGCAAATACAATACAAGATTCTAATAATTGCCCATGACAGGTATTGTTAGATGATGATTCAGCAGTTTTGGAGATTTAATATATATTACGGTGTTTTGGAAACGTTCATTAAATCGAATACCTAAAACCAAGAAGGTTTATACTCTTGTGATATCCATCTCACCATATTACGCCGCCATGCCTACCTACCGTTTACATTATTTTGATGTTCGTGGAAGAGGGGAAGGCATCCGACTTCTGTTTGCAGCTTCAGGACAAAAATATGAAGATAAAAGATATACTCGCGACGAATGGAATCTGTTCAAACCACGTAAGTAATTTTATTTTGAAATACTAAATTCATGTACGTAGGTACTGCTTGTTTGTAGGTGAACAATGTGAAGTCCAATAAATTTTTAAAATTAATTGAAATAGCACTGCTCAATGGACACCTACGACTGAAATGGGTGGGTCCAGAGTCAGATTTCCTGTTTTTGTTCGTTGTCAAAAATCTTATAGAGACATGGCATCGATGTCACGAGGACGTTATTCTGACAAGTAAAATATTTGTTTCCAGGGACGCCTTTTAGTCAGATGCCAGTTTTAGAAATTGATGGTAAACTGTATGGACAATCTGGTGCCATTGGACAATATTTAGCTAGATCATTTAGTAAGTTATATCATATCACTTAGAGTATAGCTGTACGATTAATCGAACACCTATATAGTTAGTATAGTCAGTTTTTTCTATATGACATTCGGTCACATGTGTATTTGGTTGTCTAACACACAGTGTGGTAACCACGTAAATTAGTCAATATTGGTTTAGACAAGTTGGGGGATCCTCTAGAGT